AGGAAATAGCCCAAATCATTGTGCCGAATGCAATATAGTTCCTCCATGAAGACTAGATTATCATGATAGTAATCTTTTAAATAGTATTGTCCATAATTATGAGCTAATGAGGGCTCCAAATGTACTGCATAATTGTCTTGCTTGATCCTTAATCTACATTTGGAGAAGATACATTTTCTCTTCAAGAAATATGCTTATGAAATAACAACAGCATCTATTGTATTAATTAAGGTAGCACACATAATTTCACATTTCATTTTTCACAATTTGTTTGCACCCAATCCACAAAGGGAAAAAAAAACTTTTAAGAGAGCTCTCTCTTAATTGCCTCATAAACAGCATGCCTACATTTATTCACTTTATTTTCACACACACTCACAAAAACACACACAGTTCCTCTGCCAGGGGGCCCCATTAGTCAGGGAAAGGGGCGCACGCTGAAGCGCATGCAACCTATCCAAACACAACGACTGAATCTATTAGTCCATGCTGTTACGTACATCACAGAAACGCAAGCAGGCCCACTCAACTGTAACATGCCAATATGCTCAGCTCCTAAACACTATGAAAGGAACCAGACTAGTGGGGGATAAAAAAAAAAACAAAAAACAGTGTAGGTAAGAGGAAGAAAAAAGCTGTGAGGTAAATTACAGGTAGGAGAGCAAATACAAAAAAACTGATCGGGGATTAACAGGTGATACATAGCTAAAAGTGGATCCAACATTTGACTGGGATAATTTTTTCCCAACTAGGTGAATTGCATTGCTGAAGGGGACATCGGGGTGGGAGACATAGATGTCATTGGTAAATGCGAAGCAAAAAGAAAAAGCCCTGTAGCCTCTGGTTAGTTAGCGTGATGTATGTCGCTGTAAACTGAGATGGGGAGTGTCAGTGAAGATGAGCTGGTAGAGAAATGATAGGGGACAGACGAGACAGGCACAGAGCAAGGGAGGCTGGTTTTGTTCATGTGTCACTCGTTCCCTCTATACCATGACAACACCATGTGGGCTTCAGCGTTCCCAGGAGACTGCACTGACGTCTTTTGTCTGGCAAACTCGCTATGCCACTCTTCCCACACCCCTGCTTACTTAATTTACTATCTGTCAAAGAGTGCCATTTACCCTTTAACACTACTTAGAAATGTTGACAATGAAATATGATGGATCTTTAAAGATATGTAGTACACTTTAACAATTCAAGAACTATATCTAAAAAATGAAGATGTTCAAAATAATGAACGGTACTCCTTATTCTTCTTAATTAAGCATGCAAGCTAATTTAGTTAGAGGACAGTTGTGTTTATGAGGACTACCCATCTACAAAAATCTATATAGCAAAAGTTAATATACCTAAACGTCTTTTGCACAATTGCGCAGAGCTCTGTAACAGACCTTTGCAGCATGGTGAGCTCCTCCCAAGACAAATGTGACAATTTAAAAAATTCAGACAGTGACTTTTTACATCTTGATGATGCATGCTCAATCAACCAGGTAAGGACATCCCAGAAAGTTCATTCTGTTCATCCTGATGTAGCATTTTCAGTCACTCCCTCAGCGGTGAGTTTTTCAAAGTACTTTTTCAGCACGTGTTTTTCCTCCCACTGAAAATGCTACATTCAGATAAATAAAATCAACTTTCTGGGAGTGACTCCTCACAGGCTCACCTAAAGGTTCCTCGTTCAACATCTTGCCCGCTCAGTCGTACATGTATGCCATCTTTCAGGAGGGAGCCAAAGGCTATGTACTCTCCTAGAGCCCAGTCCATCTGACGACTCTTCACTAGGTCAGCTCGACCACGCAGGATACGGGACACACCTGTAGAACCGATCACACAAACACACAGGCAAAAGACACATATGACTAAAAATATTGTGTTGTGTGGATGGAAGAGCGGTGTGATGGTTAACACTGTCACCTCGCAGCAGAAAGGTCCGGGATTTGAGGCTAACTGGGGCTTTTTTGTGTGGGGTTTACATGTTAATCGCACAATCCATTGGAGATTCTTAAGTTGGCCATAGGTGTAAATGTTTCTTTTTTGTGTTAGCCCTACAACAGACTGGCGACGTGTCTATAGCATATGTCGGCTCTCACCTTATGGCAGGTAAAAGAGGCTCCGGCCTGCCAGCCACTAACTTGGATAAAACAAATATGAACGGTATTAAATGGATGGACTGTGCTGTAAATAGAATTTTTTTTAAAAATGTTACAGTCTCAATAATTCTTTAGCTTTTTTGTTACATGAGCTTTCCAGTTCTGAATTTTGGAAAGGATGTGTTATGTAGATTTGTGTAATTTAAAAACATTACACTCACAAGTGTTTATGACCACCTTTCCAAAATCTCCAATACTTTGTAAAATGTAAATAACAACAGGGTGTAAGGCTTTACAAATTATTTAAATCCCTTTATTAATTTAAATAAACAGTACAAAAACAAGCCGATTTTTTTTACCATTAAACTGTATCACTGGTTCTTTGTTTTGTCTATTAACAACAATTTGAAAACCAATTGCTTTACTAGGTTTACCTCAACCATGCAGGACATGGCACAGTGGCTTACAGAGGTTTCAAAACTTGGCCCTGTCACTGTGCATATATATTCCACAGTATATCAATGTTACTGCTACCACCACTACTATGACTGATCCTCTGTCTCACTGCTTTGTTCTCTGGCATAAAGCAACCAGACTCACCAGGGTGGATGTTAAAACCTTCCAGAGGCACTGAGCTGGCTATCTGCCCAATGTGCTGCAGAACCTCCTCGTCCAGTCCTGTAGGGAGGCAGCTCATGCTCTTGGGCTCTCCCTGCGCTGTGAAAAAATCTGCAGAAAGCAACACAATCACTCCATCGGGGAAACAGAAATTACTCACAAAAACAGTAAATAAAACATTAACTTAAAAACTAACTATAATTTTCATGGTTAACTCACTTTTTGTTTCTAAGTGGATAATTTACCTGGCCAAGGGGAGTCGAGCCAGTGCCGAATGTGTAAGATCTTTTCATCTTTAGAGCTGGTGTATGCCTCCTCACATATTTTGTCATATTTTGCAACTTCTTCCTGCAAATACATTTTGTAATAATAAATGCTACAATTTCCCTAATGCTAACTAAAGTTTGCTTTAATCACAGACCTTCAGCTGACTAGCCTAAACAGTGTGCAGCAGTAATATAGAGAGATAGAGGGGAAAAGTCTCCAGAAGCATTCGTGCCTTTGCTATATATTATAAATGGAGTGTGAGTCCAAATAGCAGGCCTCACAACAGAAAGCAGTGTCCATCAAAAGCCAGAAGGAAGGAGCTGTAGTATTACTCTGCCATGTGATATAAAAAAAAAAAAATCAGAATGGATGTTATGGTCAAAGTTTCTGTTGTGGATGAAAAACCTCTGCAATTGCACTGAATGGCGACAGAACCACATACTTTAACTTCACTGGGCAATATATACTCTATGTGAGGGATTGTGAGGCTAGATGACTGAAGTGAGGCAGTAAATTGAAACTCAAATACAGCTGTGCTAGCATAACATATTTAGTTGAAGGCTAGGGTAATATCTAAGTGTGATTTAATGCACATAGCCCAGCAGATGGTGATATACCAAATAAAACTGCATACAGTAGCAGCAGCAATATACAGTATATTTAACAAGAGAAAACACTACTAGATCACAAACCTCAAATTCCTGCAGTGTCACCACTCCCTCAGCAATGAGTTTTTCAGAGTACTTTTTCAGCACATGCTCCTGCCGATGGATCTGTTTGTACATCAGCGGCTGGGTGAACATGGGCTCATCCATTTCATTATGGCCAAAACGTCTGTAACAAACCTGCAAAAACAGACACTTTAAAAAATAAAACTGCTACACATACGTAAGAAGCTGTTAATCTATTTAGACTCGGCTGCGGCTGACCAGGTCAATGACGACATCCTTGTTGAATGTGGCCCTCCACTCTGCAGCTACGCGGCACACATACATGACAGCCTCGGGATCGTCCGCATTCACATGAAAGATGGGCGCATTGACAACCCGAGCCACGTCAGTGGGGTAAGGAGATGAGCGGGCCACTCGAGGATCTGTAGTGAAGCCAATCTGACAACAACCACATGCCAAAATTGGTACACTAATTTTGCTTCATTTTATGTAATACAATTTAACACACAGACAACAGGAGACAGACAAATTATTTTCCAGATATTTTTTAATAAGTGGGATTGTACTTAAGTGATGCCAAAGTTCCAATACCTGGTTGTTGACCACCACATGGATTGTACCATTTGTGGTATAAGAGGGGAGTTCACTCAAATGGAACGTCTCATAAACAACTCCTTGTCCCGCAAAAGCAGCATCGCCGTGCATCAAAATAGACATCACCTTAAAAATCACATTATAGGCTTAAAGGAAGCATTTTGCTATCATTTTTTTTTAGACAGTAAAAGTATTGTGCAAAAGTCTTGAGCTACCCGTCATTTCTTTATACTAATAAACCTCTGTGCTATGTGGGGGTATTGAATGGGGCGATCGTGGCTCAAGAGTTGGGAGTTCGCCTTGTAATCGGAAGGTTGCCGGTTCGAGCCCCGGCTCCAACAGTCTCGGTCGTTGTGTCCTTGGGTAAGACACTTCACCCGCTGCCTACTGGTGGTGGTCAGAGGGCCCGGTGGCGCCAGTGTCCGGCCGCCTCGCCTCTGTCAGTGCGCCCCAGGGTGGCTGTGGCTACAATGTAGCTTGCCATCACCAGTGTGTGAATGGGTGGATGACTGGATATGTAAAGCACTTTGGGGTCCTTAGGGACTAGTAAAGCGCTATATAAATACAGGCCATTTACCATTTTATTCAATGTTTAAATATACAAATATAATTGAGACTGTGGGATTTGTATAAAATATTTGTATATACTGTAGAGATGTCACTCACGGGCTCTATGTCTCAAATGAAGACCCACACATAGCACAGGGGTTTACTAGTATGAAGAAATAAAGGGTGGCTGAACACTGTCGCACAATGCTGTATCTGGTACAATAAGGGTTACCTTCTTTCCTTGAGTGTCTCCTCTGTAGAACTGCTCTGCTTTGGTCTTTCCCTGAACCACTGGATCCACTGCCTCGAGGTGCGAGGGGTTTGCCACGAGTGACAGCGTGATGTTCTTGTCAGTCTCACGGTTAATCCTCTCGTGGTACATCCCCAGGTGGTATTTGACATCACCCGAACCCTACATGCATAAAAAATGGAGACTGAATAAAGCATCGGCTGTAAGTCCAGACTTATTTTCTCTGAGAGTTTTCCACATATCACCTCATCAGCAGCCTCTAATTTGGGGTCAAACTGACAAAAGATCTGATCCAGGTCCTTACGGATCACATTAGCCAAGACGTTCAGTCGACCCCTGAAAGTACAGTTTATAAATATATATAAACAGAAGGAAAAGACTTTAAAAAAGACTGATGTAAGAAATAGGAAATGCACATTACCGATGTGGCATCCCCATGATTACGCTGTCGATCCCTGCTGCGCTTGACTTGTCAATGATGGTTTTAAGAGCAGGAATGAGAACTTCGCAGCCTTCCAAACCAAAACGTTTCTCCGATGACCACTTTCTCGCCAGGAAGTCCTCAAACCTAGACACAATAACAGATCTTAACAGATCCCATATATGGACCACAGATGCTTGTGCTACTAACAGGTAGCTGTGAACAGCTGGTTATACAAAATATACTGGTTCTGACTGATGATAGCATATGCTCCATTACAGTAATTTATTTTTAGAATAATACTATGATGCCTTAAACACCTTGTACTCAAGCATTTAGAAAATGCATCTCACTACCAGTGTGTGTGTGTGTGTGTGTGTGTGTGTGTGTGTGTGTGTTTGTCATGAGAACAGGACAGTGACAACAGAATAAAACAAGCAAGGATACAATAAGACATATATTCACCCTAGCGAGATCATTTTAAGGACCCTGCAGTGACTTATGAGCTAATTTATTAAAGATAAAAATGAGCTCACATGAAGAATAGGGTGTGTTAACTTCCTATTTTGTTTATGTTATGTGAGTCAGTGTTGTGAGCTATAACTAAAGGTGAGGTATTGCGCTGTCACCACAGTGTGAATTTGTTTATTCACTGCTGACCGTGTGGATCTGATCAGGCGCGCTAGCAGGGTTCTCTTCTCAGCACTAGTGAACTGCATGATTCCCAGAGTCTCGAACTTCTGACGAATCCACTGACACTGGTTCACATTATTAATGAACATAAATTCAACCCCTATGTGACCGCAGTAGGATGCCTGAAAGCAAAAAGTTGCAAAGTAAAAGAAATGCACAGAAAGGAAACAGCACGACAGCTTCTCCTGTTCATCGGAGACACGTATGTACAAATACCTCTAGTCTGCGTATGATTTCTCTAAGTGGAAGGGTAGTCTCTTGTCCACCGATGAAGGTGGTGTGGGGCAGCTGGAAGCTTCTATCCAAGTCAGACTCATCAAGACCATATAAACCTAAAACAAAACCACATGAAACAAATATCTAATTAAGACTCTTAAAGGCACAAGATATAATTTACTGACTCACTTTGAGTGCATACTCCAAGCTTAAACAAAATACTTTCCACCCAAAATTAAGATTTAAGTTGGTTTCATTTAATCAAATGAATCTATTACAATTTGTGTCCCACGTCACTGCAGACAAAGGCCTATACCCTATAATGGTTTTCAACAGGGATTAAGAAAGGAATAATCAATGACCTGGCAATTGAGTATTGATCAATTTTCAGATCAATTTTCAGTTTATTGGAAGAATTAAAGTTTTTAATATTATGTAAGAAGAAATCGTAGTAAAGCGACCCCAAAAAACTATACAAATACATATTTAAAGTGTCTGATTCCATAAATTTATCTTGTTGCTGTGGTGAGACTAGTTGAATAAAAAAAAAACAGTCTTTTTTTCTTTGTTTTTAAATGTGAAAAAAAAGACAATATTTAAGTTTTAATATTTACGAGGTACTCTTATACTAAAGTTAAAGATTGAATGTATATGTGTGTGTGAAGTTGCATGTACATATGTGAAAGCTGTAAATACATAAACAACTCAGAAGACAAAGAAAGAAACAGAAAAGATGATCTTGTGTGAGCAATGTGAGCTACTTTCAGCTATCACTTATTCACAAGGGGTTGCCACAGCAGGTAGCTCTGCATGTATTATTTGGCAGATTTTTATGCTGGATGTGCAACACCCAAAGGTTTTGTGTCTCACGGTGTGAGTAAGGTAAAGACCAAAAAACCATCCATCCATCTGTTTTCCGCCTATCCAATTCAGGGTGGGGGGGCTTTGGGGGTACTGAAGCCTATTATCCCAATCGTTACATGGCAAAACTCTGGGTACACCCTGGACAGATTTATAATCTGTTGCAGGGCTAACACATAGAGACAGAAAAACATTCATGCAGGAGTGCCCAGAGAAAACCCACACATACATGGGGAGAAGATGCAATCTTCACACAGAAAGGCTCACCCTATTCCTGTGTATTTTTTTCACCTCCTTTTATAATCTCTGTCTTTTCAGGTGCATGTTTATCTTACATCTCAATGTATCACTACTCAGCTGGTGTAGTCATTAAAAGAAGCAAGACAGGCACTGGTTTCAGTTCAGGGCAGAAGTTTCAACGGGTTAAGGTGAAGGGGAACAGGATCTCCACCGTGATTGAAAAAAGTAATTGCAACAATGGTTGATACATTAAAGGAAGAAACTACTACTCCTCTAAAATATTGTAACTGTGATTGAAAAGAGGCAAACAAAGGATGTTAGATGGAACGACTGAGCAAGAAGGTATGTGGCGCATATCTCAGTTAGGTGTATATATTACAGCTTATGACGTAGTCATGGTAATGAATTATTCAACAATTAAAACAAACTGAAAAACTACACAATCATTTATTGTTAAATCCAATTATCAACCATTCAAGCACATTAATGCATTAGTAATGATTTTCTAATTGTATCTAAGTCATGCTAATGCTAATTAAATATGCTTGGGTTTAGGACTGCTAGTCAGTCAAAACAAGCAATCTAAAGACATCCTATCAGCCTATGGGGAATTGTAGTGCCCATTTTTCACATTTTATAAATGAAATGATTAATTGATCTATCAAAATATAATAAGCAAATGATTAATTGCTAATGAAAATAATGATTAGCTGGTCTAAATGAGATTGCAGAGCCCCCTCCAGCATGGCTTGCAAAGAATTAACTGACAAACTTCAGAAGTTTCATCTGAGATGATTGGTTTGATGGCAAAGACTTCCAAAAAAATTGATTAGAAAATAAACAATAATACACTATTAATTTATAGATAGTAATGTAGAAGGGCCCATGGATGTAGTGCCCCCACATACAGGTACAATAAGGTTCTGTGGTAACAAAACCCACCTGAGAGGGCTGGTCAAGCTCAAGATTACTGGCAAACATAAGAGGAGACAGGTGCAAATCATATTAGGAACACAGCAAAGACAAAGGGGGCCAAGAATAGACTTGTGTACAATCAGCTGACCAAATAAGGGGCCATGGAGGCTGTCATTAGCTTTCATTAGGGAACTATAGCCCTGGTGATCATACATAATGCGATGCTATGTCATGACTCTCACTGATAACACCAGCCAACAGAAACAACGTCTCTCTTTTCCTCCCTCTCACTCGCTCTCTCTCCTCCTTACTATCTATTCCTGTAGACTTCGATCGCTTTCTGTGGCCATCCCACATCCTCCGACCCTCAGTTCGCTAAATGAAATGGAGAATGACAAGAGCTCAGCCTGAGATTAATGACAGCATCAGGCTGACCAACCAGTATACAGACTTGATAGGTGCTTTGTACTGAAAAACCACATCCACTCATCAGTGTGATCAGTTATATAACCCTTGATCTTTAATGTAAGTGAAGCTGTACATGTATCTACTGTAAAAAATACAAAAATGTTGAAATACGGTCCAAGAAACAGACAAATACAATCTTGTCACCATAAGCAAGGCAAGATTAAGCTTTTGAGACTGAAATCCTAAAACATGGGAAGCATCTTTAGAGTTAAATACAAGGGAAGATTTCTATAGTAGGATACTCATCAGCATATATACAGCCTCAGGGTTAAATCCATATATATTCCATCAGACGGGGTCTAAAACAAGGAGTCCCATACAACTACCTCTTCAAAGCCTAAATCAGACATGACTCAAATGACTAAAAGAAAGCATCTCACCTAATTTATCAATAGTGGTGATCAGGTCGGACGGAACGAAAGAGTCGAGGTCAGCATCCAGGATTCCTAAAGGGTCTAACTGAGCAACATGGTGACCACGGATCTAAACAGAGAGACAGATGGAAATGTGCAGTGGGGGTGAAGAAAAGATAGAGAATTAGATTTAAAAAACTAAATGAGAGAATCTGACAGGCAGAAAAAAATAATAAGCAATTTGGTTTCCATCATCAAACTGAGTATGAACAGCTGGAGAATAAGCTAACACTCAGTTATAGGTCAACCTTTCAGAGAAAAGATACTCCTGGGAGAGCTTTTATGTCTGTGTACACACGCAGACATAAACATTTCCACCAGGACTGCAACAAGCTGGGAATAAAAATGACGCCTTTGCCAAAAGACTGAATTTAATAAATCCCTTGGATAGTTCCTTGAATTAATTAGAGGGCGAGTGGAAATGTTACCACCTGCTTTGTTTAAGTAGTCTCTTTGATTTTTCCATTTTCAAAAAGCAGTCAGGGTAAGTAGGTTGGAGTTAATCTTGCAATTTGCATAACCTCGTGCAGTGACAAACAAGTTGTATATTCCTTTTAATACAAGGACACGCACAAACAGCTTTCTTTGCCAATTGCATCTGCTTCTCCAAGTCCAAGCGGAGTCTGTTTGATGTATTTTTCACATACTCGTCAGAGATGCAAATAGTCAGTTGCAGCTCGAGATGGATCACATCTTAATTCCATACACAGACACTGCCTTAAGATTTAAATGGATAGCTATGAGATGTGACTTAATTATATCATAAATCAGCATCACATCAAAATTAAATGTCTGTATATCTGTGTGTGTGTTATCCTCACAGCTGTGCTAGGTGAGTGTGGCCTACCTGGTAAGCTCTAATGAGGGTGTGCACAGCCAGGTGGTCCTCCACCACTTTCTCTGCCACGTCTAGTGAGTGGGACAACACTCGGCCCTGCAGCAGAGCAGAGGGCCGTCTCTCATCCGCCTCGCCAGATGGACCGGAGGCCTGGATGTTACGGAAGAAACTGTCCCAAGACTACAGCAGAGAGACAGACAGATCCATCAAAGGAACGCTGGTATATGTAACATGATTATTCAGTGACTAGTGAATGCTTAGACACGGGTGACAGAATAGGGAAAAGCTGGATGAGAATCCAGGACAACGCAACTACATCAGATGCCCCAGGCAGCTGAACTAAGAATAACATAATTTAACAAGAAAAACCTTAGTAAGGTCAGGGATATTCAGCTGTATTTCAGAACCAGCACTGGCACCAGCTTGCAATTTGAGTAACTTCTGCACAAATTCTCTAGGTGTCATAGTTTTCTCTTTCAATTTTCATTTATGGAAAGGTATATTCAACCGACCTTTTTCTGTGTAACTTAAGATGCAGTTTATGCTACACATTGTTACCTCGTGGACGTTTTTATGGTCATCCAGCCATGCCAAATACATCTCCTCCACATAGCTGGAGTTGCTGACCACTGCTGGAAGAGGATCAGTCCTAGAGGAGCAGCCTCTCTTTGGATGAGCCCAGCAGCGCCAGGTCAGCCCTCCTGCACGGCATCGAAGGAAGGGGCTCCCTCCACCTTTCAGCACACCAGCTAATACCCGAAACTGACTCATCTAAAAAAAAAAAAAAACCCAAAAAAAACAAACCCTAAGGTTAACACTAAAGGTTAAGACAGACATACCACGCAGGAATGTGAACAGAGATGATTTTTTTTTTTTTACCGCAAACGGAATTTTTGTAAAAATCCCAGCTAGAGTGATACTCATCTGTGTTTGGGGAAAGCGCAAATCACACCTAAAGGGACTGTGTTTGCAACACAGGGTGGCTTTAACAGTTTGCACTGAGTTTCACTAAGATCAGCCTGAAGGAACAGTCCGTTTCTGCGTAGAACGTGTGCAGCTGCAAAACGCGAACAGCCCGTATGACGCTCCACTAAGTGCTGCAGTATGTGACCGACTGCTACATTCTTCCTCACCTTTTTCCTGCATGATCTTTTTTGTTTCCTTCACTCAACATCGCAGGCATCAGTATCAAAACATTTTATATTTCATTCTGCGACTGTTCCACTTTCGGACCTCTAATCCCTCACCAAAATAAATCCTCATAATCTCCGCTCGTCCCTGATACTGCTCAAGCGCAACACGGAACAAAAATATACAGGGTTAAAATGTCGCCTGCCTTTTATTTCTATAAAGTGCCTTTACCTTAGACTGCACTGTTCTTTGGCTTTACTGTCATCGCCGAGAGGTGCAAGTGGGACAGGTATCAATGAAGGTGACACAGATCCGAGGACAAGAGCAGCTGCTCGGCACGCCCCCTCGGTGTCAGGTGACGCTTCTCCGCACAGAGGCAACTTGCTGCACCCAAAGGTACCTAGGTAGCGACCTAAAATATCTGTTCATACAGAGGATTTAAAAAAGATCATTAAAAACAAATAGATGTAATCAAATAAACATAGCATATATATAGCAACCCTATTAGTTCTTGTGTTTGTGCTGTGAACTCAATTTTATAATCAGAGAACTTTCCTCAATCCTGTCACTTCAGGCACACGGTTAACATCCACCCAAGTAATTTTTCTTTCTAAGATGCATCACACATATGTCAGTGTTAATTACATAAACCAATTAAACTTTTATAAAGGCTGAACACGAGTCATTTGATCAAGGGCTTTCAGATTGATGGGCTTCTACCTTGAGTGGGTTAAACAATAAAATAATTGGCCCTCCTTCCCACCCCTTCTCCCTCCCTCCACCCTCTTTCCTTCCCTATTTCTAACCCCGCTCTCGTCCTCATCTGGATTTTCATCTTTCATACTTGCTGCCACAGAAGGAACAGTATTATCAATCATGACAAACACACCACTGAAAGGGGGATAATGGAGTGAGCACTAGTCGCAAGAGGATCAAGCAGACAGAACAGGGTAGGTCTAAATATCAGAGCATCGCTAATCACAGCATCCCCGTTTTCTTGTTTTAAGCTCCTTTTAATGACACGAAAATGTCTGTTTCTTAACACACTTCATATAACAATGTATCAATAATTCTCAACCAGCAATAAGGCTCAGTGTCTCCTGAGAGTTTTTTCCTTTTTTCTATTATTTGCATTTGCTTAACATTTGAGTTTGCTGCTGCTCTGCAGGTGACCCGGACTTTGCAGGGTCAGGCAATTATGAACTGAAATGCCATTTTGTTGCAGTGACTTTGCCGCCTGACGGAGATGGAGTGAAGACCAGTTGCTTTTTGGCACGTTATTATTAATGTTCATTGATGAAACGACCTGTGCCGCTGGGTAACATTACAAGCTCGATGTTAAATAACTTCCCGTTTAGAATGATTACATCACTACACTGGGCAAAACCGGAGCGGCTGTCTGGGTCTGCAGTGGTGAAAATCAGAAAGGAGTGAATATTCCATAAACACCCATTTCTAGTGATATATAAAGATGAATTAAAAAAGGGAAAAGAGAAGAAAACGAAACAGTCTTAATATATCATCATTTCTGTTGACTAAGATTATTCATTTGCAGGATCAGCCTGCCAAATTCAGTCAATGTTTAGTGTTGTTTGATTAAATCCAGCAGGCACCAGCAACCTGAATAATGTTCACATCCAGGTAACCCACGCTCACATCGACAGTTAGATCTGCTTAACCAAATTAACTTTATGCGTGAGTCCGCAGCTTGTTTGGTCAATGCAGGCCTCAGTACAAAGAGCAGAAGAAGCAGATAATGTGTAATCCACTTACCTCAGCCAAGCCTACACACCATTTATGGAAGTCCACGTCATGAGGTTATTTAGGAGCCCTAATTCATCTAATACAGCATGTTTGAAGGCGGAATTTAATTTTTCTGAAAGCCCTAGGTACACGTGCTATCACAAAAATCAATCAGATGATTAAATAATGTATGATTTCATGAAATTAAGTGACAGTGAAGTGCAGTGCCAAGACACTGTTCCAAACTGGACGAAGCCCCGAGATTGCAGCAAAATCTGTTATTTTTGATGGATAATTACATTACCCTGATGTATAGAAACTACATAATGTTACACTACAGAACGACCTCTTTAAAGAATTTTCGGTTCAATCATTGCGCCTAAATTTCACATTGTGGCGATCACTTTATTCAGTGAACCGTGTTTGTTTGAGCAGGGAAACGCAACGCAGAGCAGAGAAATACATGTCATACTTTTATTAAGAAATTATAATAAAACGTACAACCTAAAAGCCTAAATTACAGTTCTATGCAATACTCACAGGCTTTAATGTAACCAAACCCATTAAATAGAATCCACACTGCCAATCAGAAAACACAGTAAATAATAGAAAACGTGATCCCCAAAATAAATGTTGTGTAAAAACATATAACAAAAATATTGTTCGTGCCATTTTAACTTTATTCAATCCCCCTGTATGTAGCAAATGAAGTTGTTCAGAGTAAAATGAAACGTCTAGACTGTGAGCTTAAATTTCCTGTATGTTTAATTTGAGATGATTTACATTACTAGTGATCATTTTGATTGTTGTGATCCATAGTAAAATATGCCTTAAGGACAATATGTATGTTACACTTCGGTATCAGACAGGATATAAAAGAGCAGCATATATTTGTAGAATATTTGATAAATAAATGTTACCCATGCATAGACTACAGAATGGCATCTCATTCAGGCACCTCACCATAGCCCGGGTACAGTAAGTAGAGAACACAACTCATCCAGAAAGTGTAGCAAACACAATACAAGACACGATAACCATGGAGGATTATCATATCCTGGATTATCAATGGTGAAATTTGTTCACAACCATGCATATGATGAATATTTGGGCATATTTGTATTTAGTGTGTAAAATAAAAACAAAAAAACCAAACCCTCCACATTACATCTGGACTAAAGAAAGAACAGCAACCAGGATTTACTATTGCTATAAGTCTCTGAAAAAAGTCACCACATTTGGTGCCGTACTATGAGACTCCTATAATACCACCAGTGAGAAAGGCAGAAATGTGTTTTGATAGCTTGCATGTTGGGATCACAAACTTAAAGTGTGTGTGTGTGTGTGTGTGTGTGTGTGTGTGTGTGTGTGTGTGTGTGTGTGTG